AAACACGTCAAACTAGAATCTCCGATAGAATCACGGGGATTCAAATGAAAATGACATCGCAAAAATCGCACACCCCAAAATCGGGGTTGGATGGTTCAGAGCGGAACGGGAAAGAAGAAAGGAAAATATCCGACGTGTCTGTAGGAAAAAAAAATAAATAATAGTCGGGGCCCCCGGAATTAACATTTTAAATTCTTTCCCATTCTCTTTCTGTATTTACAGAATTTATTACCGAAATTTTCACTCCCCCGCTTTCGCCTCTAGCCAGCTCATCTTCGTGGATGCTGGGATCCACCCAACGAAAGGAACATGAAAATAAAATGCGTCGTGTACACAGTTATTTTTTTTTTCGTTTTCAATTTCTTCGACAAACATAAACTGCATCTCAACATTCATATTTAAATTCTAAATTGGGCAATAATTAATTCGATTTTCAACAAGTTTTAATATTTATTTCCTAAAATAATCTTATGTATTGTATGACAATCAACTATTTATGCAATGAGAGTTAAGGATAGAATTAAATACTACAATAACAAATTACGATTTACACAACTTACACAATTATTGTCTTATTAAAAACTTCTATTTGAAGTTATAAATAATGTATTTGCACCGAAATAATGGAATAATCACATGTAATTCTTACTTATACTTCAAAGTTTTAAAATCCTGGTCCTGCTTGGTCCTGTTTCAAACAATCAGAACTATTGGAAAGCACAATTACCAGAACTACTCGAGATATTGATAATCATTTTAAAATAATCAAATGACGAATTTATAAGCTATAAGTACTTATTGTATTTGTTGGTAACTTTTTGTAATGAAATGAAATATTATTAAATCCATACCAATAATAGCTCTTTATTTTGTTACATTTTATAATTAGATAAATTTTATATGTATTTTATTTATTAAAAACATAAAAACGAGTTCACCAAATGCAAATACAAAAATTATTGTAAATATTTTCAATGCTTATAAAAGTAAATATTTATTTATTTCCATCAAAAAATAAATAAACTGAAAAATTGTTCGGATTTGTACGAATTTTCGTTGTTTTTTAATTGATTTTGTATTTTGTTTTTATAATTTTGTAGTATCAAAATATTAAAAACTTAAAGTTTTAAAAATAAATATTAATATTTGTTACTATTGTTTATATAAATGCTCTTTTCATTTACCATAGTTAAGTAATAATATTATTTTATGAATTGATTGTTTTGATTATTATTATCATGAGATTTTGTAAAGCATTATATAAATGTGTTTCTATTTTCAGTCGTATTTGTATCGCAATTCAAATACTTCTAGGAAATGAGCGGTATTTAAAGATTTAAAGAAACGGATCGCTGTTTGTATTAACGAAACAGAGTTTTTTCAAAATATTTTGATCGTCGTTTTCCAAATTCCGCGAAAAGACGGTTCCAGAATCTGAACAAATCGTTCTCTTGCCATACGAATTAATTAGTGGCGGCTTTAATGATCCCAAACAAATCGCGTTGCGTAACGTTCTTCCCCAGCTAACATACATATTACATTTCCAAGCGCAACGCAGCTAAAAATGGCCTATTTACGATTAGTAGTAAACATTTTTTTTTGTACAACTAGACGACGCAATAATACGATACAATTATTTAGGTTACAAAATTGTGATTATAGTGGCTATTAAAAAAACGGTTAGCTTTTTTTTGTTTATTTTATTTATATTAACGTTGGTAATACCAACGGATTGTTGGTGGTATTACACGAGCGTAGAAGAAATCCGTTAAGTCTTTTTCGCCCATATGGACATGTTTGGTTAAGAATGCAACATTTCATAATAATTTTTCAAACCCTTTGGTCCAAAAACAAAAAAGATTTTTTAAATAAAATAAACATTGGAAGAATTTAATTAACAATAATAATTAGTAAATGAATAATGATAATATTAATTTATTTAAATAATTATGTTTCAAAGTAAAATCGGTTACAAATATTAAATTCTTTGGATAAACAGGAAAGACATAAATTGTACAAGATGATGCACCTTTCTCTCTATATAATTGTAAGATCACGTTTCAGATTTTTACTTTAGCACGTGTTTAGAGAATGGCACGTGCATATCTTTTATTACCAATACAAATACATTTCTTCTTTTTTAATCAACAGAACAAGTGAAAAAGTTCAATATTCTGACGTAAAAAAAATAGAAGTTTCATTATGTCTAAAAAAAATTCATCATAAAATCGAATACAATTCAATATAATATTGACTTATAAGTTAACAATAAGCAATTAAAAATAATCAGTAATGATATAAAAAATGTATAATAAGAAATATATAAAAAATTATCATTATAAAGTATCAACAATTTAACGCTTTTTACTTTTGTCATAAACTTGAAACTAGTTTATATTGTAATAAGAAGGTTCAGTACATTCAATTACTGGAGAAAAATAAATCACTAGGCTTATTGAATATTCAATGAATGATTGTAAAATTCGTATTTGAATATATATTGTATTTGTATTGGAAATGAAAATTTGAAAAAAATAATGTAATTCTAATTAGAAAATTTAAATATTTATTCCATTGGAATTTTCATAATACAGTGTAACTTCGCTTAACAAGCACCTCGAATAACGAGCATTTCGCTTAAGAAGCAAAATGAATTGTAAGAAAAATGACTCACTTAACGAGCGACGTTTCGCATAACGAGTGAAGATGAGAAGAGAAGTCCCGGATTGCGCGCCTGCTACATCACTTTTAAAACTTTTTTTACACATATTATGTGTATTTTAAGCGAGGTACAGTGGACATTGAAATTTAAAAAAAAAATTGTTATTTCTTGATTTTAATTTTTAAAATATTTAATAATTTCATTATAAAGTATAGATAGTGCATATCTCGCATAGTCCGGATTTGATCAGTCCAAATTATTGAAAATTTTAAAACAAAATAATCAAATCTCTCTTCGCGTCAAGTCGTAGTTTACAAATTACTTAAATAGTTAAATATAAATTGGATCCCATAATATCCCGAACTGTTTAATTATAATATTGAAAATAATATTTTGCAAATATACATGGTATATATTTTTTTAAATTTATTATATTGTAGTTATGAATTATAAAATATGCTGACTAAAGTATTGAACGTTTCCTTTAATACGCCATGCTAATTGAAAAACTGTAAATGTGCATAGGCACGTGCTACTCTCTAAACACGTACTAAAGTAAAAATCTGAAACGTGATCACGAAATAATATAACCAAAAGATCTGCATCCTTTTCAATATTTTCTTACCTGCTTTCACAATGGAAATATTAGTACCTACCAGATGTTCATGTTAATCCCATAAGAACAAAACAAAAATAATAAAATCAATTAAACGAGTTCTATATTTTTATTAATTGTCACTATTGTATATAGAAAAGTTAACAATAAAAATGAATTAATACAAAATAAAACTAAAATAATAAATCATTATAAAAAAAATAATAATCCATAGGAACGAACCTGATTTTATATTTGTTAGAAAATCCATAATATATTATGTTATGTATACAATTTTTGATATAAATATTTAAAATTTAATAAAAAAAAGTGTCCTTTTGCATTTAGCGTTTGCATTTATACAATTCAATAATATTCTTATAAATATGGATTTCAATTAAGCAAAATTTAGCTAAACTCTTTTATATATTATATTACGTAAAAAAGACATCACGTACTTGACGTTTGTCAGTATAGAAAAGCGAAGCATCAAGTTTTCGCAAGAATGACTCTATTCTACCATTTGTCAATTGGTGACAAATAGAATGGTATTCTCGTTGACAAGTGGCAATGCTAGACCATTCACAAAGAGTTACAATGGTCCTGGTTAATGTTACTTAGAAAACAAAACATAAAAGTAAATGCTTATTTTTAAGTTATCAATTAATTTATTGCATTTATTTACACATTGTTAAAAATAGAATATTAAATATGATTTTAGAGTAGTTTTGGTATGTAAAGTATGAAAGAAACAATTTGAATTGAAAAGGACGCACCTTGGGTGGGTCTACGTTTATACAGCGACGACATTTAAAAAAGAAGGAACGAAAATAAAAACTGACAATTTATAAGAATGCGTACGTATTAAATACGAAGTGAAAAGTGTTTAGATAGGAAACACACTCGAAAGAAACAGGTTCTGATTAAATTCATTATTTTTATTCGGCACCAGAGGGAACGTCGAAGCTACTGAAGTTTATTGTCGTCCAATCATGAGAATTGGAAAGGAATCAGTTACATGTTTTGACTACTAATCGAAGCCAGATTTTTCTTAAATAAATATATTTAAAAAAAAATAAGGTGAAGTATCGATTTGATGTAGTAGTAATCGAGCCTGATTGTGCAAGATTTCCTATAACAAATAAATAAATGATGTTGGACACAAATATTTAATTTCGGTTGTATTGATTTGCAGAGCGGGAGACAGTCCATTATGGAAACAGCATTTTGATGTTCTGCTGCCGCACGAGCGATAAATAGTAATGTGGAGACTCTCGGTATATGAAACTTTGATACTTTATCCGCATGTCCGTGCGTAGAGAGGCCAATGTTTTTCTTTTCAGGTTGTTGCATAAAGTAAACATGAAAGTGTTTGTATCGTGCGTTAAAACGATTGGAAAAACATTTCGCGTGAACAGGGTTGCAGCCAGGTTGAATGGTAGGTAGAACCTCGGACCTCCGCATGTCAAAGGATAATTAACCAATGGCGTGCCGCGAAGGGGTCGCGGGTCGATGTAGACTTATACATTATTACCATGCACATACCTATATATGTACCTGCGTACTTCGGGGATGAAATACAGCCGTGCATGCCGTTACATCCATACTCCAAGTACGTTTACGTTCGCTCCTCCGCTGTGCCTTGCGAAGATGAAATGGGTTTTTTGGTGGAGGGGAGGTTAGCCATAGTGGGGATGAGTGAGACTTTGGGATTGGATACCGGAGCTTTACCAGTAGCATTCAGTCTGCTTCTCTGGTGGTATCAGGCAGTACGTGCACCGCAGAGCTTTTCACTTGCCATTAGAGTATAGACGCGTTGATACGACGAAAATAGCGACAACAGGACAATTATATTCAGTGATATTTTTTTTTCCAAACATCAGTGCTTCAGGATTTTTTTTGGATTATTTTTTTTAAAGACGACGATGTTTTGAGGTAAATTTTTACAAATTGTATGTTTTTTTTCTTTCGGGGTGAAAGGAATGTCCTTTCAAAAACCCCATGCTGACTACATCCTTCGACACCTCCGGTAGGTGTTCGGCGCGGTTTGTTTAGACTACGATCATCGTGTTTGTGTGCTTTAACTGCTTCCAAAGGGGGTTGTTTGCAGCCGGGCGACCATAAATTAACCACGAAGAATAATAAATTTCAATCGTGCCCAATTATGAACTAAAAATAACGATAACTTTTTATTAATTGTTTCCTACGAGCGCAGGCTTTGAAGTCGCCGCCTCTTGGTGTTTGCGTTCCACCAGATAAAGGACTTATCTAAGTTAAATATATTGAAGGCATCAAGATACGGGCTTTGGATGTGGGAAAATAACCATGACTGCGGAATTCCACTGATTTGATGAAGAGTAATCGTCCTGCAAGTATAAAGAAATGAGCATCTGAGGATTGCGCGTATACAATTACATTTCGCATTCTTACCGTTTATGTGTCTCACTTTACACAAACATCCTTAAAATTTTCAACAGTATAAATAATCATGACATCTTTACGAGTGCAGATCGTTCCAAAAAGGAAATAATAACTCAATACGAGCACGTTGCATAAACACAAGTCCTTTTTTTTACCTTTTTGTTTCTATATCTATATTTGTGCGGAATGAAAGTATGAAAGGAAATCACGGTAATTGTTTACTAAGTAAATAATTGTTACTAAATTTAAACTTTTTTGATGAGTAAACGAGAGTTGCGGGGTCGCACGAAAGGAAATCATAAGTCAATACGCAGCTCGTAAAGATTCTGAAAGTTCTGAGAGGAAAAATTGATGGTTTACTAATTGCGCATTGAGTAAATTCACTAAATTTATCTTAAGCCTTTCTCCAAACCATCTTCTAATAACTATTTTCTTTGTTTGTTATATATTTGTTAGAATATTAGATGAATCAGTATTTAATATAACTAGAAAAAAGAAACAAATTTTAATTATTATATTTTTTTTTCCAATAAGATTCTCATAATTTGTCAATAAATATATTTAAAAAAAAAATATGAAACATTGCTTTTCAATTATATTTTTGATTATATTTATGATCAATACATGTCAAATATTTACATAATTGATTTATTTCATGAATTCGCTCATTCATATATATGAAAACTGAAAGTTAAATCTTAATTCAAATCGATTTATGTATTTAAATATTAAAATAAGACTACATCACACATAAATTTGTTGTATTTTGTACATGTAAATTCCTCGGCTTTTGAGAATGCTTTTTTGAACATTGTTACGAAATGCGCGTGGGTTTTGAACTAAGAAATGTAATCTACAATGGAGACTAGTGCGTGATTACACCACGACTTTCCCAATATTGATTTATTCTGAGCCGAAAAATATCAAACGAAAAGTAGCGTCTGTTGAATTAACTTTTACGAAAAGATCTGTTTTATGATTTAATCGGATATATATATGTTATTAATTGAATTTTTGAAAATATTGATCCAATTCGAAATCCATATGTTTTATTTTGTATTAATTGCATCTTACTCGGTATTAAATAGGTACGTACGTTTCTATTTATACGACGCGAGGATAGATTTTTATGGACTATTTTCGGATGGTTATTCGGTGTATGCTAACTCTAGTTGAGTGATGATGAGTAGCTGCGTTGACGGAAGAAAAGCTACTGAAATCCTGGCGGAGACGGATTGATCGATTTAGGATTGATGCGACGACGAAGCGCTCTGCATTCGACGGGTTATTAAAATTAACTTTACTGCTCCAATTAAAACGACCGCTTATTGTTGTTTTAAAGCCCTTTTGCATTGTGACGGAAGCTCGTTTCCATGGCAACAGGTGCAGGGCATAGAGTCCATTGTTGTTCTCGATGAGAATTTCGAAAGTATTGAACAATAATCGTATAAATGGAAGAATAGTGGAAGGCCTTGTCTCGACTCAGGTTCAGTCTCAGTCTCCTTCCACCCTCCTTCCTTCTCCGACTTCTTCTCTTCTACTTGCTTCTACTCCTCCTTTCTGTAATTCGACAGGCCACCTATTTATAACAAGCCTTATCGATATATAACCCGAGACCCGACAGCGTAACTCACATAAATCCACGTGTATCTCTGCCCCCGGCGGCAGAGGTGCTTTCTGTTCGGAACTTGTTTATTGTTGCTGCCTATGTGTGTGTATATACGGTTTTTCTCAAGAAAGCATTAAACCCTTCAAATATATATTTCAAGCTGGAAATAGGACCGCAAATAACGCACGATTTTAGTTTTCTTCAAGACTACCATAATCGATGGCGCCATCTTCTCCATTCCTCTGGAAAACAATTAAAACGAGGCGAAATTTATAATTAGTATCCCGACCATCTGCGGCGCGTTTTTGCCTCACAAAACTGGAGGAAAAAGATTAGCCGTCGATATTTATTGCACCCCTTTGCAAGTGCTAATTAAAATTTATACCGACCCAACGTAATGGACACCGGATCTAGCATAACATTTTTTTTCTTCCGAAAGCGAAAGCAACAACGAATTTTAATTGGATTAAAACTTTTATGATTTCAACTCAGATTGCTTTATGTTTTCGCTTACGTTCATTTGTTACTTGAAATCTTACAACTTTCATTAATCAAAATAAAACGTAAAATTAATTATTCTACGCAATACTTGAAGAAATTTCCATAAAAATAACGTATTTAGCCAGTAAAAATATACGAATTTTAACTTAAACATGTGTTTATATAGTAGCAATGCATTAACTATTCATTTAACTTATCGACACTTTGATAATAAATTATATAATCGATAATAAATTAAAAAATAACTAATTAATAACAGTCGATTATTAATAGTGTCTAGTATCATCGAACGTAATGTGAATCAATCAAACCATTCATTAGAATCGTAATTAATCACCCTTTTTTCTCTTCTTTAATATATTACGTTTTATCATTGCAAGTACTAGAAACATCTAGTATCGCTTTTTATCTATACAAACGTAAGTTGAAAGCAATTATCAATTAATTAATGAATTATAATTAAGAAGTAATAAATCGTTTCGGATATACGTTTTATCAGAAACATTCTTTGGAACATATCGCATTACCATATCCTTTTATCATTATCGAATGGAAGAGTCAAAGGCTATTTGCTTTACTTTGGTCATAAGAAAAAGAAGAAGGAAGAAGATCGTGTATTATATATAAATTATAATTTTTCGCGTTGCAATACATTATTTTAATGAAACAATGTATTATAAATAACGTTTTGGATGAATGGTTTTGTTATTGAAAGCGAATTTTAATAATAATTCTTGCAAGAATTAAATTTTACATAAATAAATTAAAAGGTTTGTTATTTAAAAAAAACTTGCATCATTGCAAGTTATTGACCGTATATGAAAATTTATGGTTTCACAAGAGAAAATGTAGTTTATTGTATGTAATGTAATGTGTTGTTAGATATGTATGAGATATAAATATAATTTCCTTGAAGCAGTCTTCAATTTCAAATTACCAATAACGGTAGAACGTTTTGAAGTATCATTGATGAAGTAAAGTATTGGGAGAGACAGAGAGAGAAGTGTGTGTTGTGTGTGGTATAAATTTCTAATAATATTCAAATTGAGCACACGCTATGCGTATGCGAGATATAATTACGATAAGGGGATTTCGGTGTAATCCGTAATAATGAAATTCAATTGATGAATGGAAACGCCGGATAGATGGGATATGTTTTATGTTCTTCGGCTTGAGGTGGAGCTGATTAGTAAACATCAAAAGCAGCCGTGCGCCCCATTGAAAGGCGCAAGGTAAATGGAGTGTTTGTATTTAAATTTGAAATAAAAGGAAGAAGAATGAAGAAAACAAAAGCGAATTGTTGCGCGGTGGGTCTGATACGTATTCCGGACGTGATTCAATTACAAAGTAAACGGAAATATGACTAAAATACGAAATATTATTAGGCTCCGGCTCTTTTTTACCCTCCAACATATTTCTCATTTCTCTCTTTCTCCGTTCGTCCTTTCTTCCTTTTCTTTTTTTTTTGATTGTGTCGTGTGCTAGGTCTTAAGCTTGCGCACGTGTTAACCATATGAAAGTATGTAGGAGGAGTAGTTTGATCCAGGAATGCCATTTTGGCGTCCGCTGCAGTGAGTTATATCGCGCACAGGAATTTCTTCAACACGGCCTCTCCGTCACCGTCTTTTAAATCCACTCCCCTCGGGAAACAGCTGGATATAATTGACACGAAATTAATAGAGTTAGCATGACAAGCAACACTGGTAAATATGGCCATAATGGCTAAACGTACGTTTAGTGCCAAATTTCCCAAAGTTTATTGCACGTCGCGTACATTCGTCTCCACTTTCCAGCTGCTTAAGACCATTATTTTTATTACGGGGTGGTCCTCCTGATTCATCACTCATCAGGATTAAATTAACCGCGACTCTAAATAAACATGAACTCTTTATCTTCTCCGTGTATTCCTCGGCATCGTGTGTGTGTTTGCGAATTGCCAACAGGATTAAACGTAGCCAGTTAAAGCAATTTACTAGTCTAATTAATGTACGACATCCGCTAGATCAGACCCATTTGCTAATTCAAAACAATGAGACTAAGATACGGAGAGTATATTATGAAGAAGGAAACCGACAGAACCAAAGGATTGTTTTGTGATTACTTTTTCTTTTTAAATCCTAATTATGTATGGTACTTAAACGGACCAAAGAGAAGTTCATAATTATTTGATAAGAACAGCGGTTCTTGTTTTAAACGGCTGTAACGGTTAATGAGTCGCGATAAGGACTGAAAGGGCTTCCTTTCAGGGATTATTCGTTTAAATAACCACTCCAGATTGTGCCAGGAATAGTGTGTCTCGTGGCCTTTAAGATTTCACAGGGATATAGTGTGTTGCCCGCATCCAGCGTTTAACAATGCAAAATACAACCCATTCAATTCCATCTGAATTACGGTCAAACGCGTTATTTATAAAGCGAAATCGTGGCGTTTCTTTTAGTTGGACTATAAATTTCAATTTCTTATTTTTTTTTTCTTCTTTTTCTGCTTCCAGATGAAATAGCAAAACTAACAAAGTCCGAGAAGGTTATTATGATGGATGCTTTCAGTGTGGCAGTTCTCATCCTCTTGGTAGCCGTAGCAGCTGGCCTGGACCCTTGTAAGTAATTGTTCCCATAGGAAGTTAAACGAGGAGAAATAGTGAGAACAAAAGGGATCCATATTTGCATGTCAGAGCGCCGGGAGGGCGCATTTAACAGGTTACTAGGCGGTTCAACTAAGCCTTTTCATTTCGAACCGGGCCCGTGTAATAAAACTCTTTTCTCTCTCCCTCTCATAAGCTCACTCTTACTCTAGTTGTTTCTCACTGGCGCACGTATTTGCATTTTTATATAATTTACCCCGAAAAAAATCCCGGCTACGTTAATATTCATGAATCAAAGAGCAGACGCCTTTTTGTGCAAAAATAAATTTCAGATTTTGAAATTATTTTAATAAAAAAAATCGTTTCTGTTATGTTATAGCCCAATGCATTGCGCCCTTGGGAATGGAAAGCGGCTCCATCAAGGATTCCGACATCGCAGCCAGTTCTTCCTTCGATAACAAGAACGTCGGACCACAGCACGGAAGGTAGCGTATTGTAGTTGTTGTTTAGTTTCTTGACGGTTGGTTAATGCGGTTTTTGTGTTTGTTTCGTTGTTCTCAGGATGAGAATGGAATTGAATGGTGGCGCTTGGTGCCCTCAGACACCGGCGACGGCCGAGCTAAAAGAATGGCTAGAAATCGATTTTCACACCGTGCACATGATAACAGGTTCCGGAACGCAGGGGCGTTTCGGTAATGGGCAAGGAGCCGAGTTCGCCGAAGCTTACATGCTAGAATACTGGAGGCCCAGCTTATCCAAGTGGATCCGATACCGCAACCATCTGGGCGAGGAGGTCATCAAGGGCAACATCAACACGTATCTGGAATCGAAGAGTCTGCTCGATCCGCCAATAATAGCGAACAAGGTGCGATTCCTGCCGTACAGCTATCACAAGAGGACCGTCTGCATGCGTGTCGAGCTGTACGGCTGTAGGTGGACAGATGGGATAGTGAGTTACTCGATGCCCCAGGGCGATAAAAGAGGTGCTAATTGGGAGTTCTACGATAACGCTTACGACGGACACTGGGATGGGGAGAAGTTGAAACACGGCTTGGGTCAGCTGACCGATGGGAAGGTTGCGCCTGATGACTTCAAAGTACCATTCTACGAGCAGAGTGTGCAAGGCTGGGTCGGATGGAAGAACGATACGCGTGAGAACAAACCAATTGAAATCACCTTCGAGTTCGACAGAGTGCGCGAGTTCACGGCGGTGCATATCTACTGCAATAATCAGTTCACCAAAGACGTGCAGGTGTTCTCGACGGCGACGGTGCTCTTCAGCGTGGGTGGAAAGCGGTACAAAGGGGAACCAATAACTTTCGATTACATCGAGGATCGTATATTCGAGTCCCCACGAAACGTATCTATTAAACTGCACCATCGCGTCGGAAGGTTTGTTAAACTACAAGTGCAGTTCGCTGCCAGATGGATGCTTCTCAGTGAAGTCACCTTCGACTCGACCGTTGTGAACGGAAATATCACTGAGGAGGAAGAGCTACCCGAGGAAACTAACTTGCAGAAGGACCAAATCGCCACTCCCGGCATGGATAGCAAGAATATTATCAGCGCTGTTAACACCCCGTCCGGTTTAGGGCAGTATTTGGGAATAGTTGTGGGTTTCCTAGCCGTAATTATAGTCCTGATACTTGTGGTCGTCGTGTTTATCTATATCCAGAATCGCCGCTATAAATCATCTCCACGCCCTTCGCAGGTACCCGGCGGCTGCGACAAGGCTGCCCTTTATCGTGAACCGCCGGATCCGGAATACGCGGTTCCTTTGCAGCAACCCCACACCTCCAGACCCCCACCGAACGTACAAAACTTCTTCCCGAAAGCTCCACCAATCCCACCACCACCAGAACGATATTACGCCGCCACCGAGATTTGCAACACCGGCTTTGTTCCACCACCCCCACCGCTCTCCACGCCTCCTCCTGTTAGACTTAGCAGGCAACCTAGATATGTCACGTCCGCCAGGACGTACATTGGACCCTAAACTGTGATATAACCCTCGATGAATCGGCCTTCGCTTTTGTCATCTCCAATTAAGGACAATTCAATATATAGTATTCATTTACTTTGTTTTCCTTATATACATGTAACATATATATACATATAAATATAATTTATTTGTGGAACTCGAAAATTCAACGAACGTAAAAGGCTGATGATTACCAAAAGTATTTTATTAATTTATGTAATCGCTTGTAAACGCATATACGACAATCTGTAAATTAAATGTGGATCTAGTTATATAATGAAAAAAAAAACAATACAATATTTGTAATATCATCAATACCCAAAACGACTGTACATAGTTTATATTTATATTTAACGATACTTTAGTTTATACCTCTGTACATATCCTATTTTGTAAATATTAAGCAATAAATACGTCGCTGAACTTAACGATCTGATCATATTTTTCTTCCCTCTTGTTTACTATTTCCTTGAAAATCTAGGGGACGACTGACTCTTCATATATATCTCTATATATATATTCTCGAGGGGGACTCGGCGAAATTTAATTAACAAACCTAATTATGTGTTCTTGTGCGAGAGTTAGTAACTCGATGAAATAAATCGTGAATTCCGAGAGAAATATTTAACTATTATTTGTGCTGAGCCAACGGAAATAATTGGCGACAAATAGTGGATTTTGTTAGGAGCAAATTAGCGCTCGAGTCGTTAAAGTCTTCGTTATTCTATTAAGTTTTCATGCGTAATTAGCCTAATATGCAATTCCGGCTGGGAAACTTTCCGGAGACTTCGGAGCTGTTTGTTGACGGAGAACCGGAGGAGAAGAAAAAACAAATTGTAGAAAGTGAGAATATTGCGGAAACGAATTTGGAATTGGACCACCGAGTCGAAACGCACACGAAACGCTGTCGGATTTTAATAAATAATGTACTGCATCGAGGAATAAAAAGCAAGGTAAAAATTTTGTAATATAAATTTCTGACATTGATATAAAAGCAATAAGCCGACGGAGTGAACGAGAGGAGAGCCCAGTGAAGCGGCAAAGAAAGGAAGGCAACTTTTTTTTTCCTTCTTTCGAGCTTTTTCCTTTCCTCTTCTTGCATCCTTGTTGCCTCGTTGCCGTGACTGGCTGACTGAGAGTAACGAGTCTCGCCAGATTGAGGCAACTTACTTCGGAAACAAAATTAAATCCGATTGCACTCGCCGAAAAACCTACAAGAAATACCAATATAATTAAAGTACGACTTCTTCTCCGAACCGCCACTCTTACTTTGAATCACGATCGCTTCGAGGCGCTTGTTTTAAACCATACTCATTCACTCAGTCTTTCTCTCACGCACTCAACCAGTGCGCGGCTTATCCTAAACCGGTCAATTTCATCTTTAATTTCATAAATAGAAGATTTATTTCTTAATTTATCACGATCCTGAAAACTGGATATAAGAGAGAAACGCGTGATCAAACTCTGAGAATCTTTAACTTATTATCAAGTTACATCCAATATTATTTTATTTATTTGGATTATAATTGTAATTACTCAAATCTTTAAACATATTTATAGAGAAAACAAACGCAAGCCTTTATTTATACAACCATCAAATTAGTATATTGCTTACCTGGAAATATGTAATAATAAACAATTCGCAAAGCAACAATCCAATTATTTTAAAATTCATTTTTTAAACTACATAACTTTATTCTATGCAAAGAAATTTACCTTTAATGAAACTGTTAAATAATTTCAATTAATTTACCTTAAAAAATCGTTGGGATATACATAAAATATTTTTTTTGTAATATACGTGCTGAATGGCTGAACATTATCATGTTAAAATTACAATATTATACGTAAATACTTATCCCGTAGACTTGTGATTAAGAGGTGAACAAAGGTAGAGGCACTGTCGTGGTCGTAAAAGCTAACGTACACTAAATTCCCGTTATAATGCGGTGTATGGGGTCAAAATTTTTAATACTAAGTGAGACCGTACAATAATGGAGATTTTCATATAATTTATAAGCATATTAACAATAAAAAAAATGTTTAAATTTCTAAGTATAATTTTATTATTTTGAATAATAAGGTTATTAACATAGATATATTTTTTCATTTTTACACATAGAAAAATTCATTAAAAATATTTGACTTATAATAATTACAAATTTATTAAAAGCTAAGAATTTTCTAGTATTAAAGAATATTGCCAAATTTCTTTGTAAGTAATTAATCAATAATAAGAATTATTAAAGAAAAAACTAAATAGTAATAAATAGATGTCTGTTACAAAAAAATAATTGTGAATTGATAGTTAAGTGATGTGTATCATGGATACTGTTTAAACAGGTGATCTTTTGTCAACTAATGACAATGGTTTGCGAAAGATGCAAGAGTATTCCTAAGTTTAACAAATCTTGGTACCGCTCCATAAAATCTCACCTAAAGTATGCCATCACCGGTAATTGTAAGGAATTAAACCTATTAACCTAAACATCTACTTCTATTATAAATGATTAGGTTAATGTATAATCTGTTGATATGAACTTTTTCTTGACACTTTACATATAATATTCTATTTACGAATGGTATGGAAATAATTCCCATAGCACTAGACTATTTCTTCGTTTTTTTTACTGAAAGTATTTTATTTGGGACAAAGTCGTTAAATCCAGTTTATTCATTAATCTAGAAACATTATCATTCAAACTACGAGTTTGCTTCAATAAAAAACACAATTTATTGATTTTATGCGTGTCCATTAAAACACTAAAAGCCCACGGTGTGAATGAACAATCAACTGATTAAATAATTATCACTTAGTTTGTAAGCTAAAGCAAAATACTGATACGGTGACATTGGTCGCATTGTAAATGAGCGTTCTCATTGCAAGAAAACAGATAACCTTATTTTATTTAAAAAAAAGTATTAATAGTAACTATAATTTATTGCTTACATAAAAAATACTTGTACACAATAGGGAATTTACGGCAGTCTTCCGGACTAATCAAGGACCAATATATACAGCACAATAATGGACCCGTTACTCAGGTATTAATAAAAATAATTTTGTGTACTAATTTTAATTTGCTTTGAAATTTTTAAACCGGACTATAGCGAATACTGATCAAAATTATTGCTGTAATTTAGTGAATTAAACTATATGATTAAATTTGTGTCATTTATGTAAAAAAAAATAAATGGCAGAATTAGATATCAAATTTTGTAGCTATTTTAAAGGATTGATGGTATGCAATATTTTTGTTCATAAAAATATGATATATATATACCGTGATATGTGATTACACGATAAGAAAAATACGTTGCGGGTTAAGAGATGAGTTTTTCTTGATGTATGGCCTGTCAGGTTTGAAAAAAAAATACAGGCGGCCGAAGACCTTTTCCGTTTATGGAACATCCGGTTCCGAATGTGATCTAGGAGGTGGGTCGGAGAATGAGCTAAATTCATCCACTATCAACATAAATACATTACATACATACATTTTGCCTTCACCAATAAAAAAAATAACATAAAATATATATAAAAAGTTATTGATTATGTTCAACACTATAAAATGTCTACACTTTCATGAAAATAAGTTTTTTCAAGATAACATACATATTTTAGTTAAAAAAATCTAATTTATTTTACAACTGCATTGATTTATACTTTGTTGTTGTAATCTATAAAACATTTAAATATGCACTTTATTTAAATCCATAATTTTAATGAAATTATGGTGTAAATTTTTATTTTAATTTAAAATAATAATAATAATTTATGAATTCAATTACATATATACTTGTTTCTCTCCTTTAAAATAATTTTATTTAATATTTATAAAATAAATAATAGTACAAAAAAATATACTACTTTTTTTATTGGCTATCAACCAAAGTATTTCTACCCGATAAAAAATAATAACAGTAAATATTAAAATTTGTTTGAATGTGTTCTATTATTTACTGTTCAAGAGTTTAGTAAAATTTCAACATTTTCTTTTAAGTACTTCAGAACAAATTTCAAGGGTTATCAAATATTTAGGGTTTCTTATACGAAAAAAAAAACAACGACTCATTGAATTATTCTTATTTCATGCATGTGGGTGGAAAACTTTAATTTCCCATCCATTGTTCGGTCAAAAAATCGACAAAAGTATTTGATTAGTCATGCAATACTTACCGACTCTATGTGAACTTTTGTTCGAAACTATTGTAGTACTTTATTTGGTTAAATGAGTATAAGCTCGGTGAACAACGACATGAGATCATATTTAATTATGATTTATAAGAATGATGTTTAGAATATACAACTTTGGTTTCTTGATGCAACTATATATGTATCGTATGAGTTCACCAAAGGTTAATTTATTATAAATAAAGTAACATTTATTTTTGAATATTTCGTACTGTTTGAAACCGGACTAATTCAGGAAATATGTATCATATACCGCACATAAAGAGACTATAAAAAATAATTTTGTGTACTAATTTTTTAGAATCAATTTTTATTTTACTAAATTAAAATTTATTTTGTATTGAAATCCGGACTATAATGTAGATAGAAACAAAACATATATGCATTGATTTAAATATAGTTAAATTGATATATTAATAATTTAGAATACATATTTCCTGTGCTCACTCTATATAAACATGTAAATTTACTATCTTAATTAATTTCAAGTAATCATAAAAGTCCTGAATAAACTAATGATTAACTACTAGTATAAAAAATATTTTTCAATCAAATTCCCGGTTTTATCTAATTATGTAAACATATTGCGTTAAGTTAATCGGATTTTAAAATTGTGGAAGTAAATTGAATTCGTTGTCATTAAGTGTTTGAGTCTATCATGTCATAACAGTTAATTAGTTTTACAACTAGTATGAGACTATTACATGACATTTATGTCATAATTATAGGTAATTAATTTCGGATCTAAATGCTATTGATAGATAAATAATAGATTTACATCATTATTTTAGAGTAATATCCATTTTATAGTGCTAAACAATACAAATAAAGTAATCATATTTACTGAAATTGTCAAATATAATAAAAGAAAAAACTGTAGAAAGACCTATTGTCAGTAGCCCTTTGCAACAATTAAATTTAGATTTATTTTTGTGTTATTTTGTTAAGTTGCAATAAATATTATTGTTATTAAAATAATATTTTTGAACAAAAATATAAACTATTACCGTTTTTAGATTAAAAACAAATGTTTGTTTTGAAATTAGTCCTGATAATAAATAATTTTCAAATAAATTAGTTTATGAAAGGTAAAATTGGTTTTACAATATACTCAAGACTTCGATAATAATAAAATATAAAC